AGGATAAAGGGGTATTTGTCAAATCCACCTGTGTTGGTCCCGCCAGAACCAGGACGACCTTTGATTCTATATTTGACGGTATTGGACAATTCATTCGGCTGTGTATTGGGTCAACATGATATCACTGGCAGGAAGGAGCATGCCATATATTATCTCAGCAAGAAATTCACACCGTACGAGGTCAAGTACACTCAGCTCGAGAGGACATGTTGCACCCTAACCTGGGTGGCGCAGAAGCTGAAACATTATTTGTCATCTTACACTACCTATCTCATATCTCGCTTAGATCCATTTAAGTATATCTTTCAGAATCCTATGCACACCAGTGCAGATTTGGTGCTCTCTTGTGGGATTATGCTAGAAAGAAGATGGAACTGAACCCGCAAAGTGATGATGAGATTATTGGTCGATAGAAGAAGTCACAAAAGCAGAAGTAGTTACTTCTATCATTGTTGTAGGATGAACTCTATAATTTCATTTTGTATTATGTTTTGTTATGTTGTCATTGTTGTAAGACGGATCAGATTTTGTTTGTGTTTGAATTTTCTGAATACTTTTAAGAATTGTATGGCAAATGATATGTTTGCTCTGTTATAAAGGTTTAATGAGTTTCAGTGTGATATTAGAGTGTTGCAGTTTAGTTTATTTTGGTGTTTTCTCCCTTGATTTTCTGTTGTGAATTAAAGATATAAAAAATATACCGTAGTTTGTGATACATTGTCTCTTGCAGATACACGAATGATACACATATGATATAGATATGATACACATATGATACATAGTTTTCAAATATGTATTGATGAAGCCACTCTTATTTGCAAATTTCTAAAACTATTTGCATAGTTTTCTAGCTGCTACGACTGTTTTCCATTAGTTAGCTTTGTTACTACACAAATACAGACATGAGTAAGAGCCTATACACAAAAATACATAGGTGATACACAAACGATACATAGATGATACAAATATGATACACAAGCGATACATATATGATACAAATATGATACATAGCTTATACAATTTCTTTTTAATCAAACAGATGTATAATATACACTTTCAACACGATTTTAAATGATAGGTCAAATATTTATTTATATCTAAAATTCAAATGACATTCTACAATGATATAGTTCTTGATATATTACATTCTTCTAAATCTCTATGATATTCAGTAAAGTAAAATAACAAGTAATTCTAAATTTGACATATTTCATCCGCTCTTTGTATTATTTCTACAAGTTTTCCTATTGTGATCTTCTTCTCCACACTGCCTACATGAAATCGACATTTTTCGTTCCCTTTCAGATATTGGCTTGCATCTCCCCTTCCTTGTCCTTCCTATTGTTTTAATCACATCTGGTGGCAAGACTTTTTCATTTAGAACTTCTGCAGGAATTTTCATGTGCTTTCATCAGGAACCGGATAAATTGGAATTTCATAGGTCTTCAATAGGTACTTCCTGGTGTAGTACACCGAGAAATACTCAATGTGATCAAAGTATTTGTATTTTAATACTGCCCAAGCATGTGCACATGGCAGCTCATCCAACTGAAACCTTCTACAGCTGCAAGTTCGATCTTTTAGGAACACCATTCTTTGCTTACCTTTGTCAAGTACTGAATATAAGTAACTCGTCGAAGGGGTTACCTACAAAATTTATCAACTATCATTAGTGGTGACAAAGTAGATGCCCTTAAAATACATATACTAGAGAGCCTATAAGATTCAAAATAGCTTAATATAATGTCAAACCAACCAATATTTCAGCAGTGGGGTAGGCATAAATGCTACATTAAATTGAAAGCTTTTGGTTTTGTGTAGGTGGACACTAGTTTAACAGAATCACACGAAGGGTTCAAGATATAACAGATCCGTGAATTCGGCATGATTACATATTCTATGCACACGTATCTACAGATTCCAGTTATACCTTCATATGATGTGACAATTCAAGATTTTCCATCAGCATTGTATCATATTTTTTTCCAAGATCAGTGAATGACTCTACTGCATTCTTTTGGTTTGTAACATTCCATCGCCCGATCAATTGCCTTATGTAGTCTAGCAAAGGCAGTACTGGGAGTTCCCTAGAAGCCTTGAGCGTTGCATTGATCGACTCCGCAATGTTTGAAGTCATCGTCAATGTTTCATTGACAGTGGAATATGCTCTGGACCATCTTTCATACCCAACATTCATTAAGTAATCTTTGACCCTCTTATCAATTTTCTCTACCTCTGCTATGTGGTAATCAAACTTCTCAACTGTGTATGCTTTGGCCACAGCAAAGAATATATCTTTGAGCAACAAATGGTTTTTTTTTGTAATTTTTTTAACATTATTCCATAGATGTCATATGCAGACACAACGAGGTACTTGTGGATACAATGTTGCCGCTGCATTTTCAATGCCTTCATGCATGTCCGAGACTATGCACATTCCCTCCATTTCCCCAAATGCATCCTTGAATCTCGCAAAAAATCACTCATAGGAAGCATTATTCTCTGAATCTACTATGGCATATGCGAGTGGTAGGATATAACCTGCTAGATCTTGTGTTGATGCTATCAATATTGTTCCTCTTTATGCCGATTTAAGAAAGGTTCCATCTACAATAACAACCGGTTTGCAATACTGCCATCCTTTTATAGATGAATATAGTGCAACGAAAGCATACATGAACAAGTCTTCATCTGTTTTTTTCAAACTTATCACCGACATAGGATTTGTAAGAACCAGCATATAAAAGTAGCTTGGCAACTTTTCATATGATCCGCTCGGGTTCCCTCTCAGTACTTGAACTGCATATTCTTTCGATCTCCATGCTTGCATATATGTCATTTGAAGACCATACTGCTTGTTCATGTCTCCAATTATGTCATTAGGAGTGTATATTATTTTTGGGTCTTTATACTTGTCTATCAGAAGACTGCCGATGAGTTTTGCAGTAGCTTGGTATTGTGCGTAAGATCTGTCTTTCAAGAGGCATGAGTGCACTTTGCTAAAATTTCTGACCTTGAAAATGTTTGCTTTTTCCAGGCTCGAAGACTTAAAATACCAATCATAGTTGTTGTTGATGCATACTAGGCAGTACCTACGATAAGGATATAAACTTTTCCATCAATAAACAGAGCGACATGAAATACAATGATATATAGTGATACACACTGCCATCATCAATATTAGATGAAAAAAATACAATGATTATACAGTACTAGACGGTGACAACCACACCTTAAAAGTGTACAGCCACATACTTACAAGCAACAACTTATTTTCTGCATAATTATGCTTCTAACATCAACTACGATATACATTGAGATACATAATTATACAATAAATATTTTGATACCTGCTTTCACTTGATCTATGCACCTTAAACTGAAATTCTTCCTTTACTGCCAAGTGCTTCATGACTTTGACTATCATTGCCTTGTCTTTATAAATTTGACCTTCTTCTACATCTATGTGTTGAGGGTCAGTTATTATTGTATTTTCATCAGATTCTGTATCATTCCAGTCTTCTCCATCCCCAAACTCGATCATCTTAATTGTATCGCCATTGTATCTCTCCTCTATAACTGAGCTTTGTGCACATTCTGAGGAAATCACAGCAGAATTGGAATTGTAGCAGATCATGTCCATATCCTTTTCACTCGATGTTATACAAAGGGGATACATTGTAAATTCTGAGCTTTTTTTCAGCTCAAGATATACACATACACCCATACTATTGTGTATCACTATTGGTGGAGAACCGTTTTGGACAGTGTATTTGATTTCAATAGCATTCAATGAAGTATCTATCATAAGTTGTTTCGAAATCACGTCTACAAAATCATCAAAACTTATATTTGGTGTAACTATTACAACATCTGCATTATAATCTACAAAGCTATTGTCAACATTCCATCGGCCTCCATACTGAATAAAAATTGGTAAATTTGGCATTGAAGTAGCTAAAATTAGGTCAAAACTCACTAATTTCTTGATTGATTTTGATTGCAGTTCGTAGTTCCTTCTACACAGAAATTGCAAAAGTTGTATTTACACAGAAATTGCGAAGGTATATAGTGAAATTGATCGATTTTGAGTGAAATTTGGAGCTTCTTTGGAGAATTTTTGGGAGAGAATGCTATGATTTACAGAGGGAGAGAATGTTGTGATCTGGCATATTGGTAGCTTGAAAAAGGGAAGGAAACGTGATTCTCATATGCGTGATTGTTGGAAGCGTGATTCTCTGATGCGTGGTAAATTGATACACTCGTGTGTATCTCTAAATTTTGGGCTACTTTTGGTAAGTGTTTAACTTTGGACTAGAGGTTGGTAAGTTTGTGTTTAAATTGACTATTTCTGTACTTTTCCCCTTTATTTTTATTTATCTTATCACATTACAACTTAGAAACAAAAGAAGAAAATAATGACGCCGGCTACCCTTTGGTTATTTACAATAGAAAATGAAATCCACATTGAGCTTCAGACCTGTCCCAACTACCAAACTGAAACACCAACGTTGAACTTAAACACCAACATTAACCAAGCTCAGTCCTCCAATGAAAGGAACCGCTAACCCAGCACGACCACCCCTCCCCCCCCCCCCCCCCCCCCCCCCGGGGACCGTTCAGGGAAAAAAAACCCTTTAAAGACGGGTAGAAGCCTCAGATAAGCGCAGGATTCAATTACTTGTGTTATATTTTAGCTTTAAAAACTCGTCCACATCTAGTGTTTGCACCAAACCAGGATGCATATCGTGGTTGGACACCTCAACCATAGTCAATATAAACTCTCATCTCAATTTGTCACGTGCTAAGTTCATATAGTAAACAAGTACAAGCATTTCCAGGAACGCACAGGTAACTGGCCAATCAAGTATAATTTACCCGTCAATACATTTTAGCCAGAAACACACCAGCGGACTCCCGAGAGTTTGTTTTTGATCGATGCTTGTATTTAAATTTCAATGAGCTACTACCTCCGTAGTGAAGGTGCAATCTGAAAGTGCGGCAATCAAAAATACAAAACCTTGCATTGTCATAAAATTTAGCTGGTGCATAAAACGCACATGTAATTTTGAAGGTCAATCTCAAATTTCACCTAACACTGCAGAATCAAAAACTGACCAAATAAAGACAGCAATACATATGGCATCGTCTCCTGGATACTACAAAGTACCAAACATCCAACAAGTCACGACACAACTTTTCCAGCTCTCCATGCCACAGCAGCTTTCACCTAGTAACGATCATATCGTCTGGAGACAGAGAAGAAACAGTTAGTGTATATCGAACCCCTATTACCAGCAGGGGGTGCTCTCACATCAAGCTAGTCAAAAACCCTTCTCAAATGCATTTCTGTTATAAACTAAAGAGAAGGTACTAGTGGCTGCATCAAGTATCTATATCTGCTAAAATCATTATAAGTTTTGCATTTAGGTGGAAATATATAGTAGTAGCTTTAAATTCTAATTCACATGGAGTAAACGAAAAAACTGCAACTAAATGAAATATGAAGAAATACCATTTTGATAAAGTATTTGAATAAAAACAAAACATTTTAAACTTCTTATTCAAATGAAAAAAATATAGTTTTAACTTTTTGATATTTAAGACAAATTAGTAAAAGATTTTCTAATTCTAAACCTCTAATTAAAAACTAATCTACTTGCAGTAAATTTTTAATTTCCTGCTCCTAATTACTAACATATTCATACAGAATGTTTGTTTAACAATCAAAATATCACTACATCAATTATATTTGTTGTTCAGTGCTGCCCTTTATAAGACGAATCCCATGTGCGCCAGCACTAAGCCTGAGCTGTCACGGCTTAAGCATGTCTAGTGCGAGCCTTTAGCAACTGATTAAAAGCACTAATGTAAAGGAACGTGATATATAATTGGGGATAAATCTATGACAGTGCCTTCCCCCAAAATTTTCACCACATTAGTGGGAGGTATGGGGCAAATAACGCAACATCCCTAGCAAATTCCCTTCTCACTAAAATCAGAAGCCCTCCGCAAAGAATTGGAAGCTACTCATTATTCGGTACATGACAACCTCACACCTTTAAGTCCACACAAAATAAAACTATATATAACGCAATCAGCTTAGTGGAAAAAATTAGAACCTGTGGCGATCATAATCCCTAGACCGTTCTCTTGACCGTGAACGTGATCGCCTATGACTTCTTGAATCATAGTTGCGAGAGCGGTCTCTATTTCTGTCACGCTCACGATCATAGCTGCGATCTTTACTCCTGCGATCGTGATCTCTCCCTGCTTCGCGGCTATCAACTCTGTCCCTGCTTGATTCTCTATCACGTTCCCTGCTTTTTCTTTCTTTAGATCTGCATATAGTAAATTCAACACTTGACCACAAGATAGTAAAAGCAACAACAGATAAAGTAAAAAATGCTGAATAAGCATTTCATAATAGGAGATCCAACACTACCTCCTATCTTCTTCTATGGCCTTCCGCTTCTTGTTTCTTTCTTCCTGGCAATTTGACATCATTGAGATAGCACAATTGAAGCATATAACAAACTCCCACAGTTACGTGGGCAAAATTAGAATGAACACATATTCATGGAATAAACTAGCAATGTAAAGAATGATAAACAATGTTTTTCCCTTCTTTTATTGACAAGGTAATTGGTCAATCAGTAAAGATATATGTATTTTGATGCCCCGCCTAAGAGAGAGTCAGTTCAATAATAAGAAATACTTATATAGATCAGTTGGGAACATGCACATCAGTACTTATGCTTCAGCTATGAAAAGCTGGAAGAAAAGTGTTGAAGACATAACTAAATGAATAAAAGTGTGATCCCTCTAACAGCTTAAGCTTTTAGATGAAAGGGTCACACACTTTAATATGGTATTGGAGCACGTTGAAGTCCTGAATTCGAGTCTCACTGCCACCCATGATCAAAAGGAATTTTCACGTGCTTGGCCCGTGAAAAAATTTAAGGCCCACACATGAGGGAGCGTGTTAAAGACATAATTAAGTAAATAAAAATGTGTTCTCTCTAACAGCTTAAGCATTTAGATGAGATGGTCACACTTCAACCAATAAAATCATATTTTAAATACATAAACGTCATAAAGGATACGTATGAAGCAGCCGCACTAGCATAAGAACAATAGTAGGAAATACAAAGGAGTTTCTTGTAACTGTGGCCCGACACCTCTATCGGTATTGAGCCAATACTTGTTTACCCTAGTTATGGATGAGTTAACCGACACAATATAAGATGTCGTCCCTTGGTGTATGCTATTTGTTGACGATATTAACTGACGAAACCAACAAGGGTGTAAAAAAACTTGAATCATGGAAAAGCATTTTAGAGTAAGGATTTTAGGATAAGAAGTAGGAGTGAGTATATGCACCGCAACTCTAGTCAGCTTAAGAAGAGTGAAGTTGAGGTGAAATTATACGGGATTGTTGCACCTAAATGAAAACAATTCAGATGTCTTGTTTTTCCATGAGAATGTAATGGTAGATGAAGACGTTACATTGTACTAAAATCAATTGGTTGAATGGAGAAGTGTTACCAAATTCAGATATCATGTTGTGATAAAAGGATGTGTACCAAAATGAAACGTAAGTTCTATGGAACACTTGAAAGACCCACAATATTATGCAAGAGAGAATGTTGGGCTAAAGTTCAACATAACCTAAGTGTTGCAAAGACGCGGACGTTAATATGGATGTGCGGTCATAATAGATCAAACAACAACAACATACCAGTATTATCCCACACCGTGGGGTCTGGGGAGGGTAGTGTGTACGCAGACCTTACCCCTACCTTGTGAGAATAGAGAGGTTGTTTTAAATAGACCCTCGGCTCAGGAAAACATAAGACCACATTAATGAAAATATAGACAAGAAGGGCGGTACCAAAAAGCCATACAAAAGCAGAATAAAAACAAAAAGATAGCAAGGTGATCAACCATGAAGGAAACAACGGTTAGCCAAAAAAACCTACTACCAACGGAAGCGAGACTGCGTGCCAATACTACTGTTATGAACACTCTAGACTACCTACTTCACTACCTTAATCCTCGACCTCCATACCTTCCTATCAAGGGTTATGTCCTCGATCAGCTGAAGCTACGCTATGTCTTGCCTAATCACCTCTACCCACCTCTTCTTTGGCCTACCTCTACCTCTCCGTAGGCCCTCCAATGTCAACCTCCCACACCTCCTCGTCGGGGCGTCTGTGCTCCTCTTACTCACATGACCAAACCACCCACGCCGCGCTTCCCGCATCTTGTCCTCAATAGGGGCCGCACCCACCTTGTCGCGAATAACCTCATTTCTGATCCTATCTAACCTGGTGTGCCCGCATATCCATCTCAATATCCTCATCTCTGCTACCTTCATCTTCTGGACATGAGCGATCTTGACTGGCCAACACTCAGCCCCATACAACATTGTTGGTCTGACCACCACTCTGTAGAACTTACCTTTAAGTTTCGGTGGCACCGTCTTGTCACACAAAACACCGGAAGTGAGTCTCCATTTCATCCATCCCGCCCCAATACGATGTGTGACATCTTGATCAATCTCCCCATCCCCTGAATAATAGACCCAAGCTACTTAAAACTTCCTCTCCTAGGGATGACCTGCGAGTCTAGCCTCACCTCCCCTTCCCCTCCTTGAGTCTCGCCACTGAACTGACACTCCAAGTATTCTGTCTTGGTCCTGCTCAACTTGAAACCTTTAGATTCCAGGGTCTGCCTCCATACCTCTAATTGCGTGTTGACATCGTCGTGCATCTCGTCAATCAATATAATATCATCTGCAAATAGCATGCACCACAGCACCTCCCCTTGGATGTGGCGCGTCAGTACGTCCATCGTCAGAGCAAACAAAATAGGGCCGAGTGCCGACCCCTGATGCAACCTCATCAAAACCAGGAAATGGTCTGAGTCCCCATCCACCGTCCTCACTTGTTCTCGTATACAGGAACCACCGTTGTCCCTCCACTCTTAGGGCATCTTCTTCGTTCTAAAAATGACATTAAATAACCTAGTGAGCCACTCCAAGCCTGCCTTGCCCGCACTCTTCCAAAACTCCACCAGGATTTCATTCGGCCCGGTCGCTTTGCCGCTGCTCATCTTGCGCATAGCCCCCTCAACTTCATCAACTCTAATCCGCCTACCATACCCAAAGTCACACAATGCACATTGAGGATAAAATGAGAGTCTTTTGAGATGATTTGGTCAGAACCTGCGTCGACAAGGTCCGCAAATGTGAAACTATGATGAGCGTAAATGTTTAAAAAGGACGAGGTAGATCTAAATCACATGGAAATGAATTTTTCTCGAAAGACCTACAATCTCTTGGTAGCCATGCTAACTTAGCAAAAGATATGACACAATGGATAAAAACATCTATACATGCAATGCCAATTAGTTAATGTGTTGTAGTCAAGTTAATATGCTTACTTTAGGTCTTATGCTTTTTAGGAGTCTTTTAGTGCTATTGGGATTTTCATGCCAGTTGGGGGGAAAAAAGAACTTATAGTACTTTTTATTTTGTATAATGCTAACCCGAGATGAATTAAAATGGAGAAAACATGATTAGTGAGGATTCATATTGTTGATCCCAACTAATTTGGGACTGAGGTGTAGTAGTTGTTGTTGGATTAATAATTGATTCTACTCACCTCCATGATGAGTATCTCCTTTACATAACTATTACTCTCTCCGTTCCAGTTTATATGAATCTATTTACTTTTTTTTCTGTTCCAAAAAGAATGAACCCTTTCTAAATTTGGAAACAATTTAGCTTAAACTTACAATTCTACTCTTAATGAGAAGCTTTTATAACCACACAAACACTCTGGCTCCTTTTTGACTTGTTTAGGACCACAAATTCCAAAAGTCTTAATTTTTTCTTACACTCCGTGTCCAGTCAAACAGGTTCACATAAATTAGAACGGAGGGAGTAACTCTTTCCTGCTCTCAAAGAAAATCAAGTTGAAGTCACTTATTCAACTATTCTATCATGTCTTAAATTATACCCTAATATGAGTTCCATAAAAAATATTTATAGTTCTAAACACACATTTCACGTCATTATGAGGTGATATGAGAACTTATTTTCCCTATGGACCTACAAGATCAGTAAAAGACAATAGAAAATCTCTACAAAAGAAACAATATCTGAGTATAGCAAAACACCAAAAGAGTATACATATTGAAAATTTCTACAGAAGAAACTGACACAGCAGGACCTCAATCAAAATATTTAAATTACCAATTGAGCCACTAAATCAAATACTTGTTTAAATTTCTAAGAAGATGACTGTTCCGCAGAAGCCACTCAATCAGAGATCATTTTATGCAACCAGATAAATGAGGAAACAAGCACAAGAATACCTTACCAACCCAAAAAAAAAAAAGGAAACAAGAACAAGTCTCGATATATATATAAACATTGCAAAAGTGTNTGAGGAAACAAGCACAACTGTTATACTTCCAATAAATGGGCCTGCGCTGCAACAAAGAAATCTTGAAAAATAGATATTCTTATCTTTACCTGAAGTTCAGCTAATTTCTCACGGATTTGCATATAACCCAAATGAAGCTTTCCTCCAAAATGATCAGCTAAGCGACGGTCACTGAAAAGAAAAGATGAGAAAAGCAAGGATAGCTGGATATTATTAGTACACTATCCAATTAGTTTTAAGAAACAAAAATTGTAGAGATAACAAAAAATGAGGTTGCCCCATAACTTTCTAGCTAAGCATAACATGACTAATAAAATTAACACAGAAAAGACGCACATTATTTAGCGGCAAAAGTTTATCCTCGAAAAACTGGGCCCAAAAAAGCCTGCTGGTGACAAGGAGGTACAATCGCCATGTCAAAAACTGAAGCACTCAAAACTTCAAAGTAGCTCTTTATTTCCCTAAAAGCTACTTAGCATATCTTCCAAAAGCTGAAAAGGAAAAAGGAACATTCACCTGTCATAAACACTTAAAAAGGCTCCACAGATGTCGCACACACGGAGCTTTTGATCAGTCTGCAAAAGTTATAAACAGCATGTCAGAGATAGCAAATTCATGTCAAGACCACATCCTGAGATTTCTCAGCAGGAATATATGCAAGAATAGAAACAAAGAACAGTCATTGTTATATGTGCCCACTTGAGGCAGTGATTCTAGCAACACAGTACCCAATTTAAAAAACATTTCAGTTCTTTTTTTGACTTAGGTACTCAAGGAATTCTTAATAGTCAGTTCATTTCAAGAAAATGTTAAGCCTTCCATTAGCATCGGAAAGTATGAAAAGGAGAAGAGAACCTCTATGTATATACATATATGTACCCACTTGAGGCAGTGATTCTAGTAACACAATACCCAATTAAAAAAAACATTTCAGTTCTTTCTTTGACTTAGGTACTCAAGAAATTCTTAACCGTCAGTTCATTTCAAGAAAATGTTAGAGAGCCTTCCATTAGCATCGGAAAGTATGAAAAGGAGAAGAGAACTTCTTAGTTCTTATTGACTTGATTGATTAGAAATCTAAAAAGAAGCTTCTAAAATTTGCTTATTTTAAAAAGCGCTTTATTTAAAAGTGCTTTGCGCAAAAATACTGCAAGCAGTATATGAGGCTAATCAATTTGAAAAGCACTTTTAAGCACTAAATCCGTGTTTGACCAAGCTTTTTTCATAATGGTAACAATTGTGTTTCCAAAAAAACATACTGAGTGGAACTTCCTATCCTTATTTGGTCAATCACACTGATAGGCACTCTTAATAATCTGTAAGATCTTTTTTTGGTTGTAATTGTGGTGTTTGGGCATCTCTACTAAATCATGAGTACCTATTATTACCCAACAGCACATGTATAAACTAACTCTATCCATCAAGGCTTAAACAGACGAGAACAAAACACATGCTTTTTTTGCCTTTCACTGGAATCTGAACCTGGCCCATGGTCCATTCCAGCTTCTTGACCACCAGGGTCACACCTTTGGATGCTAAATATTTTACTAAATTATTTCTTAGTCATGTCCGATGAATCTATACATGTGTGAAACTAGACAAGCGTTCTCTTAATATTCAATACACCCCTCAAACTAAGAGTGAGAAAACCAACTTGATTTTTCTAATTTGGAAATATAAAAAGTTGCCATCAAAATCTCACTATGTTACATAATCACCAAAAAAGTGTTAAAATTCTTTCCTCCAGAAATCACTGGTAGCAGAACAACGCAAGTACTTTTTGCACTAGCAACGAAAAGAACAAAATTGTAGCATATGTCCAGTACATCATCAATGTAGCTTGAAATTGGCAAAAGAATGACAGGAAATAAAAATTTAGACAAGGGCGTTGGCCGCTATAAAGAGGAGGGTGTCAAGCATTAGGCACCATAGAGAGCAAACCCATTACCCACTACCTCACCATGCTTTCAGAAAATTACTCCCTCTTTTCCAGTTTATGTGTCGTACTTTCCTTTTTAGTATGTTCCCAAAGAAAATACTTCTTTTTATATTTTTATGTTTTTAATTCCATCATTCTCATTTTATCCTTAATGACACATCCTTATAGGAATGACATGGCATGTTTAAGACCACAAGATCCAATTGATAATTTTGGTATGTTATACACACTTTTAGTTTTCACTAGTGGGAATACACTGGGTTTTTTATTGTTGTTGTTGTATACACACCTTTAGTTTAAGACCGCAAGATTCAAAATCTTTAAAACTTTGTGCCTAGTCAAACTAAGACAAATAAAATATAACGGAGAGAATAATATTTTGGCCCCTCTTTCAAGGAATCATCTGGCTAGATTTTCAAAATAAAATTGCTATTCATTCAGATTAAATTCAGTGAAAGTACTTACAGAAACTCGTAATTGAGGAGAAACAAATACAACAAATAATGCTTATCAAAGTTGTAGAAAGTAGACTTACAATCCGCACATCAACTGCAGTGTACTTTGAGGAATCCTGACCAGGGTCTTGCCTCACAGGCAGCTGAATGAGGAAGACAGGCATTATCAAAGAGAGAAGTAGTCGAACTACAAGGGTAAGTGTTTTAAGCCCCAAAATAAAATTAACGGAGAAAGATAAGAAGGGCAAATTAAATTCTAAAAAGTTATATTTGAGCACAATTGAGTACAGAAACTACTGTTCGACAACCTTCTTAAGAGCTTCCGCCTCTTCCAATGCTTTCTGAGCTTCATCAACCATTCCTTGCTCACCTAGATAACCAAGTATGAGGAAAAATGTAAGGTAAAGCAAGAAAAGATTCAGTAAAATCATGTCATGCTCCATATAAAGCAAGAAAAGATTCAGCAAAATCGTGTCATGCTACATAACATCCTTTTTATAAATTAAGGTAACTTTGAAAGAAGAAGAAAAAGTGCGCCAAGGTACCAAAAAACTGTAAAAGGTATAATATTCAGCATTGAGCTTCCAAAATCTAACTCACCTATAAAACAAGACATTTTTTTTTTGGCAAAGATAGAGCAGCTATCGTAACGTAATTCTAGTGTACTACTCACTTTGAAGGTTATAAGACACATGCTCCCATCATGCTTAAATCGCTTCTAAGGCAATTTCTATTAACATAATTCTCGACTATTTCACAGCGTACCTGTTACCTCCCATTAAATGTGTTTTTATCTCAAAATTGAGATCATGGGTATGAGAATCATACACTGAGAGTTGAAAATGATTCCCCAATGCAGAACCAAATGAACTGGAATTAGCATAAGTATATTTACAAGATTCACAGCAGGATATGGCTCCTCTGATGTCAAGGGATCATAACTATTTTCGAGCAATGATGTTTAAACACATCTTCTCAAATATCTAGTTAAAAGCACATCATTGTTCACTTTAGTCACATAATCAGCCTGCCATTTCCATAAGTACTTATTAATAATAATCTCAAGGTTGCATCTTCAAATACAGTCACTTTTTTAAATAAGTAATGGGTGTTGNATTTCTTGTATGCGAGGATCTGGAGCAGCTGCAGGCAAGGGTGCTAACTGTGGACCGTTCTGAAGTGGCTGAGGTAAAGATGCTCGATCTTTGTTAAATGCATCCAAAAGGAGCATTGACTGCCATTGGATAAAAGAAAACACCTATGAGTTCTAACCATATACACTACAGCCATGTGAATATTAAGTATCGCAATGTCATTAGTTTTTGCCTATGTTGACTAATTAGCAAATTAATTCAATGTCTCCAAGTTCCCTCTGTACCTGTTTGTCTGCTCTCTTAGTTCTGAGTTCTTCAACCTCTTCCAGAGCTCGAATTTTCATATCTGTCTTGCCTTCAAGATCTACAAAGAAGTTAGATTGTTCAAGAACTTTGCCAACTCAAAAAGATCTTCACCAGATAGAAAATGGCATGAAATAATAGCACTTTTCATTTTATTCCTCAGCAATTCAATTCGCTCAAATTTAATAGGCTAGATCCGAATATGAAACTGAACTATGTAAATTCAGACAAAGTGACAACGAATGTTATCATATCACCACCAATCATCAAGCCTATTTTACTCCTTTAAACTGTCTCATGCTCGAGCAGTATATAGATTAGCAAGCCAACTAGTCATTTTCATATATAATGAAAAAAGTAAAATATAAGCAACCTTATATTGGCAAATAGCCAATCAAGACCACATAAGCATGCTTTCCCGATGCAGGCAGTCAGCTAGGCCTAAAAGAACTTACCATTTTCTTAGAGAGAGAGCCTAAAAGAACTTACCATTTTCTTAGAGAGAGAGCCTAAAAGAACTTACCATATACATCAGCTTCTTTCAACTTCTCCTTGATTTGCTTTGACAACTCATCAATCTCCGGTGTCTGCAATTTAGGCAAGTTGACAACACTTGTAACAAGGATAGTAAACAGAGGAAGGACAAAGAGGAAGTGTCAGTGACCAACAAAAGAAAACAATGAGCTTGGAGCCCAACACTTGACTATTACCAGAGTAACTTCAGATACTGATATGGCAATAGCAGCTTTGGCATCCTCCTCGTCAAGCCGTTTAAGTNATGTACAGAAAATCCGTGTTAACAACGACCATAATATATTTCACAGACGTCTAGTTAATGACTCGGTTCAGCAACTAGGCAGGCAATCGGCCAGCAATATTGTAATAGTTTCTATAATCATTTGACCTAAAAAAAATAGAACAGTGATTCATTGAACTGTAAATAAATCAAAGAAAAAGGAGAATGACAGAATGTATGAAGAAACAAAATTGTATAGTTAAACAACCTGCGACAACAACCAGCCTATCTAGCATGTATCGAGACATAAAAAAAATTCTAGTTTTACTTAATAGCCCACGCATGGCTAAGATATTAATTCTCGAAGTTATTACGGGCAAGAAAACATGAATATGGAACACTTGCAAAATCATAGCATGCACGTCAAAGAAGGATACTCTTTTCTCAGCTGCAAAGAGTGCACCTTAGGGCATGGCCCCATATCCATTTTCTACACAACAAGAAAGAAATTAAAATAAAAAGTCAGTGCACAAAATTTATAACCAACAAGGAAATGCAGAGGAAGGTGTAGACCTAGAATAAACTGAACAACTCAACCCTCCAGCCCACCGAGGATTTACTATCGTATATTCTTTTTTTTTAATAGTAAGGATACCATCTGCAGCTGACCCTTTAGTACTGACTAGTTTCACCTTATACAAAAATTATTGACTAATTTCACTTGACAAAAATTATTGCATTTAGATTAAATAAAGCTTGGTATCATATTAACAATATTGGATTTTTCCTTTATAAGCATAGAGCATTACTGATTAAAACTTGTCATTTCATTAGTTCACATCTTCATAGTTGAACGAGTCAATTATGGTGGACAACGCTCAACCTATATGGTACCCAACGGGTAAGGACAGCTGATGTAGATGATGTCATGTTCAGCTGGGCATTGAGGATGTAGAGAAAGTAGACCATTTTATCCCTAAATCTTAATGACACTCTTTTATAGGAGGGACATGCCATGTTTAAAACCACAAGATTAAGGGGTCGTTTGGTAGGAGGTATTAGAAAAAATAATGCAAGCATTAGCTCTATGCGTTACTAATACCTTGCTTGGTACATTTTTTCAACATGTGTATAACTAATACTTGTCATACTTGGTATTATACTATGCATTAGTAATGCATAGAAAACCATGGCATTAGTAATACCAAGGCTATTAATGCATGCATTAGTATGTTTAAAGACAAAATTGTCCTTAAAGTCCTTTAAAGCTAGAGAATATGGAGGGCATTTTTGTAAACAACTATTTTTCTTAAAAATTATGCAATGCATTATAATTTTAATACACCACACCAAAGAGTAGATAAGAAATAATATATGCACAACTAATGCTTGCATTACTAACACATGCATTACTAATCCATGCATTACTAATACACCTTATTCCGCATTATTCTTATACATCCTACCAAACCACCCCTAAAAGGTATTTTTGGTATATCACCTTAGGTTTAAGACCACAAGATTCAAAAGTCTTTTTTACATTCTTAAACTCCAAGCATAAACAAACTAAGAAACAGAAAGTGCAGAGTCAAACTAAAATACATAAAATGAAACTGAAGGAGTATGACTTTATCAACAAAAAATTAAAAAGAAAAAACTCTAGAAGAATTTTCATTTACAATGAAATTTAACAAAATTGACCAACCGCAAATAGGAGAAGTCTCTAAATATTTTTAAATGCAAATAAAAAGCATCACATCTAGCCGATGGGCTCCCTACCAAATGTGTTTTGAAATATCTAAAAACTAAGGTCTTTTTAAATTTATTATTTTGACCAGCGGAGTATCAAAAGTCTAAGGTCTTTCAACAGCAAAGAGCTCCCAAAGCCCAGGTAATTAAGAACCCCGTGCTAAAACCAGAATAAATAATACATAATTCTACGAACTCAGTATTTTTTATAAAGTAATAAATTTTGTCAAAGATTGAGCAAAAAACATATGTATACTAGTATACCAAAATAGTAGAAAACCTACAAAAAAAGATATGATTTTTTACGAACGACACCTGATCTTCTATACATAAGGAAATTTCATGGGCGCACCAAAAAGAAATAAGGGATGAGAATTTACTCCTCAATTGTACAAAATTCTTCTCTACACCCTTAAGAGCTTTCATATTTCTTTCTCTTGAAGGGACCCACATAAGTGCTAGTGGCGCAATACTCCACTCCCCGCATATTCACCTCTTTCTACCATTATTTCAGCTTAACATTACCTCTTTCATACTGTCTAGCATCACCCAAAGTATGCCAAGCCATCTAAGAGTTCCCCCGCCATAACCTTAGAGCTATATGACAATGTATGACGAGATGGTGGACATCTTCACGACCCCTTGCACATAAGCACCAGTTGAGATAACCAACCTTTCTTTTCGTCAAATTCTAAAACATCAAGAGATGGCGGACATCAGCACCAGACCACTTGGACATAAAGCACCAACTTTGTAAGCAACCTTCCTTTTCCTTACATTCTAAGCCATCAAAACTAGGGGTGGCAAATGGGCGGGTTGGGCTGAATTTGGGCGGGTCAAGACTCAAGATGGGTTAGATCAATAAATGGGTCATTGCCCAACCCAGCCCAAAGTGTACTTGGTCTAAGATGGGTTGGGTCGAGATGGGCTAAACAATGGGTCATAGCCCAACCTGCCCATGTTTTAGAATCATGCTCATCTGGCATAAAAAAGCCTTTTACCTTAAAATGTGTATATTGAAATATATTTTGTGGGTGGGGTGGGTGATGCAGAAAAACGAAAAAACAAAAAATACAAAAAAAAAGTAAAAAAAAAAATTGAGGGGGTTTGAGGGGGGTGCAGAAAAACAAAAAAATTGAAAATTGAAAATACAAAAAATAAAATAAAATTGGGGCAACTAAGTAAATTTCTAGATAAGCTGGGTTGAGATACCTTTATTTTGGGTGAGTTTCATGGGTTGTATTTGGACTGCTTAATGGGTCAGAATTGGCTGTAAAAAATAATGGGTTAACTTGGGCTCAGCCCAAATAGACCCATGAGCTCAAATATTTGTAGCTCAACCCATTAATCTCTGGACAGGTTGGGCGGGTTGGATGGATTTGGGCTCAAATTGCCACCCTTAATCAAGACCACCCCATTCTACTGCTAGCCATGTCAAAAAACACCCTTTACTTGAAACTTTAGAAAACCAAACCGAGCTACATGGAAAGACAACCTCCTCTGTAATGAGAAGTTTTACTACTCCCTCCGTTCCAATTTATGTGAACCCGTTTGACTGGGCACAAATTTTAATAAAAAATGAAGACTTTTGGAATTTGTGGTCCTAAACAAGTCAAAAAGGGGTTCAAAGTATTTGTGTGGTTATAAAAGCTTCTCATTATAGATAGAATTGTAAGTTTAAGCTAAATTGTTTCCAAATTTAGAAGTGGGTCATTCTTTTTTGGAACGGACCAAAAAGAATATAGGTTCACATAAACTGGAGCGGAGGGAGTACTATGTAAAAGAGGGAATAAGCAAGCACTGGGTCAACATGCTTGCCTGGCATTGTCAGGGCAATTCGGTAACTTAAAAAAATACAGCACTATTATTGGTAGAAGTACAGTTGTCATGCAATTTTTATGTGCCTTGACCAGTTTACCCTCCCATCTTTGCTGCAAAATAGGGGTGTACATAGGTCGGGTTGGTTTGGATTTTGTAATTACCAATCCAAACCAATTGTGTCGGGTTATTAAATCTAAAGATCAAACCAATAAAATTCGGGTTTTTCAATCTCGGGTTTTTCAATCTCGGGTTTTTGGGTTATTCGGATTTTATTTTTATTTTTTTTTGGGG